TGCATGGACTTTCCATCTATGACACTGCGGGCACTTAACATATCCTCGACAATTTTACTTTGCTCACCTACAACTTTGTCTGACTCCCAGAACTTATTTCTTATCATTGGCTTCTTTTTTCCCAGGACCCAGTAAAGACTTTCGGGAACCCGGCGTTACTTTTCACTGGAAAGCACCCATGGACATCTGGCAGCATGTGCGTTGTCTGCGAGGACCTATGAATCGACATCCTGGACTTTTCAGCAAGAGTCTCTCGGGTATTAGCCATGTACTGAGAATAGAAAGGTCAGTATGTGGGGGGGAATCGACGAAGCACACTTTTTGTGCTTGAGCACCCTCATGGGTAAAAAAAATACAAAGATTTCGGTAAGAGCTGTGAAAGTTGTGACAGCACTCGGAGCACATTCCTAGAACAGGGAAAAGAATTGGTAATATTGGTTACTGTTTTAATGTTTTCCATATGTATTTGGTGAATATTCCAGCTATAATACAAAGGTTTGTGTGTTCCATTGTGTATCTAAACTTCTGTTGGATTTTTTTTGTGCATCTGTTGATATGAGGATTCAACCCATAGAAGTAGAAACTGCAAAAAGAAAAACAAAGCTTTGAAAAAACAGCAAGTAGGCAAACAAAGCTTTTAGGAAACTTGTCATTTTTTTTATTCTAATTTAATCCTCAACATCAAGCAGTCAAAGCAAGCCTCCACAAAACTCGTCATTGTAATTTATTTTCGTTCTTGTCAAATAGTTATACCAGTTTTGTGTATCAGTATTATTTCTTATGATGTTATTTGTTTAGTTATTGTGATAAAACCCCTGTGATAAGCCGAAGCAGGCTTTTGAGCCAATATGTATCACATTAGTTTCGAATAAAGTAATTGTTTTAAATACTTGTGGCTTGTTTTGCAGTGCCTGCATGGTAGGACTCATGAAGTTGCATTTGCAGAAATGGCAGTGATATGAGCTGAGAGAAAACAGCTATCTTTTTTGTTAAATTTGAAGATTCCTGCAATTTATTGCCACCCACCTGTCCACTCAAAGCAGGCATAAAGCAACAGTACATGCTTGTTCACGCCAGCTCTTGCCAATAGTATAGACATGTGACAAAAAAGATATACAACCTATTGTAAATGATAAGCATAACCAAACTAATAGAAAGTTAAGCTGCCGATTAAAAAAACTTTTACTTTTTCTTGTTGTGTGCAAATTCCGATGTAACAAAACAATGCTGTCCTGAAAGCTTCTGTTGTGTTTCATGATAAATTTTAGAGCAGCATTCAGTTCAGCATCGTTAAGACCATCATCGTTCATTTTTCCATGTTTCATTACAGGAAATTGTAAGATATCAGTTCTGCATTTCGACGTTTACACTTGCAGACAATTGATGTTACCGCTTCTTTTAGGTGGAATCGAAGTTTCCATTTCAACCTTTATACTTTCACACAGTTGATGTTACTACCCTTGTTTTAGAGGAATTCAAGTTGAACCTCGCAGGCGGCAAGAAGTCTCCTAACGATCACAATGCCTTCCTTTGTTCAACAAACTGATACTTGACTAGGGCTGCTATACTCCAGACAAAGTCAGAGTCAGCACTGACTATCTTTCGGAGAGTCGCTCATACACTCCCATGACTTTTTTGCGATAGGAGTCGGGGGACTCTTCATAAAAGGAGGGTCCTCACAACTCTTGTTACAGAGTCACGGGGATTACCAGGAAGGAGCCGTGTGACTCTTCCTCCGTTGGATAAGAGTCGTTAGAGAGTCGCAGTTGACTACGTTACCTGGAGTCGCCTATACACTACCATGACTCCAGTGTGATGAGAGTCGCAGGACTCTTCTTTAAATAAGAGTCACGTGACTCTGCAAACTGGAGTCGTGGAAGAGTCAAATCTGTAGCGCACAAAGGAGTCGTGGCGATTCTCTTTAAAAAGAAGTCGAGGGACTCTACAAACTGGAGTGGATTCTGCAGCGCGCCAATACCCCCAAAGAGAGTCATAGCGACTTTTTTTTTTAAGAGTGTACTGACGTATATGGACGGCTGGGGTTGTGACCATTGGACTAGCATCACTCAAGAAAACACCGGCTGCGTTGAAAAAAAAAATAACACGAAAAAACGTACCGCCTATTTACTCTAGGACGGAATGTATAGATTTTCACACGACATCTAGGCACCACAATTTTCCTGCTGGTGTGGTTAGACAATACCACGTAGAAGAACCAGGTCTGCGAATGACGTCATCATTAGTGGATCTCCTACCCGAACATAGCGGCAAAGACGCTGAAGCTCGGCGAGAGACGTCGCAAAGCGGCAGACACGTCCGTGTTGGCGTTGCTGCGTGGATTCACTAGTAATATCTAGATATACCGAGCGTCTCAAATAGCGGCGAGGCTCTTTAAATCGACCGCAAGAACTGGTTTGTTAACCTATCGTGCTACGATTTTCTGCAGCTTTGCCCACAGGTGGTCCAGTTTTCTATAAAATTGGCAAAGAGCGAACTTGCCCGAGAAAAAAAGTAAAAAAATAAAAAAAGGCTTAGTTCCTATGGAAACGCAGCGAAGCCAACAGTCTTCAAACAATAGGGTGCCCTATTGTTTAAAGACCATTGGCTCCGAAAAAAAGAAAGAAAAGAAACACTGACTAGGTGGCGCCTGGCGCCACCACATTTGAAGTGTTTATCCAAATCTATGCAGGGATGACGTTTAAAGGGGAAGGGGGGAGGCGCAGGCCTTGTCTTCGTGCAATTAAGTTAGATCGTCTGATACTCACGCCCTGGCAATGCGTGCTCACGGTTGTCAGACGCGTTCAAATACCGTAAATTGCCCCGAAAGATCTACCACCCCCGAAAGGTAGCACACACTTATTGTTGGCTTGATTTGCTATTTACTTTTAAACACCGAAAGATAGCCCACTCATACAAATCTCAGTGTTGGGATCAATGATAACATCGGCTTAAATGCGTCTAGTTAGCTATGGCGCGATATAAGCTAGCATTGCTGACTGGGAAGTAATCATCTTTGCTTTATTGCCCCACCGCGATGACAAATTCGGCAGGGACACCATCTTAAAATAACATTTTTTTTATACTTTTCTCGATTGAACACCGATAGTTAGCCCACTCCTTATTTTCACCCATTTTTTCTCGACTTTAGGTGGGCTATCTCTCGGGATAATACAATAAAAAATTTTGAACCCACCGTGGCCAGACTAACATCTGAAGAGTGGCTATTCGAAAAAGTCTACAGAGCCTTACGAAGAAGTAAGTCGCACAGCAAAGTCGAGGAGAAGCGTGATTTAAATCGCGGGAATCGCGACGTATTTAAAAGAGGGCGCATTTATACTTTTACTTCGTGCTTTCGAGGATGCAATTACAACCAAGCTATGCAAAAATTAAGGGGACAAAAACTCGTCGCGAAATATTAGTACGAGATTTACACGAGCGCTACGAAATCACGCATCTTACGTATAAAAGCTGCGGTAATATGAGCTGGTGCAGACGAGCTCGGGCAATATACCACCCCCTAGAAGGCCAATCAAGCAGCACCAAAAGTGCAAATAACTGGGCCTTTTCTGTTTATGATTGGTTCAACGATCATGGAGCAGGACGAACACAATGATCGCCCGCTTTTGACGCTGTCAGATTAGTCTCGTGAGCTCGTGGCGTCGGCTGCGTCTGCGCTAAATATAAAACGAAGTATAGTGGATCTACGCCTATAGGAGTGGATCCACTATACGATTACTCAGGCTATAGCCTGAGTAATCGTCACCTCCAGCGCATCTTGCAGCATCTCACAATGCTGACAAGTGGGAAACGTGAATCTGCCGCTTGGCGAGTTCTGGTTGGGATTGCTTCAGGCCGGGGTGGCACGAAAGATATGTGAGGAGCACATGTTAAGCCGTTGCAAAAGGGGGCGCGTAATACACTTTCGTATTTTCTATTGTCGCAATGAGTCAGTCGCTTTGACGGCTTAGCACGCCGGTGACACCCCATGCGGGATTTTACCCATTTCGGTTAGCGCTAGACTGGGCCAATTTATGTCGCGTACCGTTTGTTACGCGTATGGCTGGAGTGAATGGGCACGCCCTATGTTCCTTCCAAAACATTGCGTAACTAGGGTTTCATTAGTTTTTTCTTTCTTCTCAACATTACATTTTCTGCGTTTTCCGTGCGGCAAGGTTGAGGTGCGATCTGAATTTTGCTATTTAGTATAGGAGGAATATGGAAGCACACAAAGACGAGCAGCTAAGAACCCATTCAGCAGCGTGACAGAGCACAACGACATTACTAAATGAACGAAGTAGGTAAACGCTCCTATAGGTCTTACATGCTGAGCCTACTTGTGCTGCCGTGCCCGTGCCCCCCCCCCCCCCCCCCCCCCCAAACAAGCTGGTTGTGCGGGGTGTCGAAAACCAGAAACAGAACCTCGCAACTTATTTAGAAAGCTTCAGTCGGGGTTTATTAAGTACTCTCCCGACAGGGAAACTTTCTTGCGGGATTGTAAGCGGAATATGAAAAGTATGTTGAACATCTCCCTCGTCCTTCAGTCTTCCTTATTTACGACCTGTTAACCATAACATATATACATAAACCTAACCTACCTACAGTACCCTGCAGTTGTTACCTTCAGTAAGTGGTGTGGTTGCAACTCATTTGCCTAAAACTTGTAGATAGTTATGCACTTTCAGCTTGCTTTCTTGTAATTCAAATAAAATAAGCTAATAAATTAATCGAGATTAAAAAAAAGCATTTCGAAACGCCTTGCATGGGGCTTTTAAGTATTCTAAGAGTAGTATTTATTTAGTAGATAGGAATCGCATAATCGCAGACTTTCTTCACTTGCCAATTTTACACGGAAATTTCTAACCGCAATAAATTACTATTTATTTTCAAGCTAAGTAGTTTTAACGATCTCGCTTCTTTCCAGGATTTCAGTTGTAAGTTGTTCCAGAAGTGCACACTGCTGTCTTTTATTAAAAACAGCGAAGAAAACCAGACCAACGGTCTAACAAATAAATAGTTTAATAAAACAAAAATATATGAACTAGACAACTGGACAACAAAGGGTTCTTGTTTGACGCAGCGGTATTTTTGGCAACCTTGGAGCAGCTGTGCTTTCTGCTCACGTATCTTCCGAGGCCAAGAGGGCCCGTTCCTCTCTGAAAAGTGGGGAAAATATCATTTAAAGTATGCCAAAGACTAATAAGAGGATCAGTTAAGAAGGACTTAACAAAATAATGTATTCAAGAAAAAAAAAGGCCTTAAGACCTTAAGAAGGAAAATTAGGAGGACTCGATGACGCATCAAACTCTGAAGAAGAGTCGCCCGGAAATTTCTTTGGAGAAACACTTGCTAACATTAAAAAAAGCATACGGTGTAATAAAATTATATACCTTTTCCTGAGGGCTCTTCTGTACAACACGTAAGCCGCGATGAGAACGATGCAGATGACTGGAATGACGATCATCATAACAATTGTTGTTGGACAGAGTGTGCACCCAGGCAGGATTGCTGTCGGGAAAAGACGACAAGCACAATCAATGACACACGCTGCCACCAAATGTTGACTGGTCACGATGCGATGTGTAAGGACCGCTTTTATTATCGTTTTTTTTCCGCAGAAAATAAGGAACGATCAGTTATTTAAAACAGTGAGCGTGGTCCTTTCGTAACAAACATCAAGTAAAGAACATTTGTTTGAAGTCCAAAGAAAACACCAAGGGTAGCGAAGCTGGCAGAATGCATGTGTTCAGCTTGGTTATCCTTAATTTCGTACCAAAGCTTTCCCACCTTGATATGCAAAACAAGTCGGAATATATTGAAACTATCCTGCCTGGTTAATCCGTTTTTTTTAGGTTCGTCCAATGTATCAGGGGAACTCGCACACACATATTGGTCGATTTGTCCCTTCACAAAAGTCGCACAGATTTAAAATAAAATACAGCATATTTTTCAAACAAAGCGAACTTTCAATTAAAAATGGCCAAAGAAGCCTTCAAAGTTCTTGTTTCACAAGACAATACACCGCTCTTAGCCTTCGTCAAATGACAGGCGCCTCTGTTAAGGATCATACCGTCCAACGTATTACCCGTGGACCTACAAACCATAAGAGAAACAATGGTTGCTACGTCCACAAACGGAATGCCCATGATCAAATAGAGTTACTTACGTTCACCCTCAGTTTTCACGGTAATATTGGTAGAGGGCCCTGCTTTCACAGCTTTGAGACCGTTGTTGAAGGCAAACACGCTGATCGAGTATGAGCAACCTTGATCCAAGTGGGTAATATTGAACTGGCTCGAGGTTATAAGGGCCGACGACGTGAAAGAACTGTTTGTCCATGACATGTTGAATCCGCTGAGAGGTCCGTTAGGTGTATCGGGGTGAGACCAATTCAACGCCACCCAGGTCTTCCCAACAGAGGTGTAGTTTAGGTCCAGAGGGACAGATGGCGCTGCGCAAAACAAAGAGAAAAATACGTAAGCTGTAACACCATAGCCCATATAACCAGCCAGCGTTCGTACATTTCAGCTTTTTGCTCGCAACGCTACATGTTAGAATGGTCCATTTCGCTACTGCAGCCCATAAACATTTGTATAACAAACGTAACTAAAACGTCTAGGGATTCTGCCGTTATCTACTACCACTGAGCGAATAGAGAGACGTGTCTTTTCTGAAGGTAAATTAGCCAAGTCTTTTCAATATGGATCCCGTTAATACAGATACCCCTTTTTATATAAAAGAATATTCTTGGACGAACTGGGTATATACATGAATTTGTGTCTCGTTCTTATTGTGAATGACTCATATTATTGAAGGTTGCTAGGGTAGAAAGCTATTGCCTACACTTAGAAGACATGGCAATAATACTTGATTGAGACCTCTCAATGGTAAACGGAAGCTCCAGGTTTCATACGGCCTGCTCTGGTGCGTTATTATAGTGCACAAGATCGCCAGGTAAATTGGTGACCCATGATTTCTTTACGTTACGAAAATATAGCTCAGTCATTTAGACCACATAACATAGGAAACATTTTAAATTAACGAGAAAATTACTCCAATAACGGCGATGGCTATTTCTACATAGCCGTCTCTAATTATACCAGGGCAACAAAAACGACATTGTAGAATCTTGGAAATTATATTCATTTTTCATTTAAAAAATCTTCGAAGTGAGCATATGACTAGGATATATCAAACTACATAATCGCGCAGCCCCAGCTAAAATCTTGCGTTAGAAACCGACACCGCTGGCAGTCTTACCGTCAGCGTCGGTCTTGAAATTGGATGTCTTGGGTGGACCACATTCGCTCTCGGCCGTGCATGACGACACATTCACAGTATATTCAGTCCACGTCTGAAGGTTGGAAATGTTGGCGCTTGTATTGGGAGTGAGAAACTTTTCATTGTAGGCACTTATTATAACCTGGTACCCAATAATCTCGTGCTCCTTATCCGTGGGCTTTGACCACGACAGTTCTACGTCGTGGATTTGGATGTCGTCCACTTCGGGTCGAGGTGGCACAGGGCCTGTTGGAGTCATGAAAAAACTAAGTCAATAGAACTTAACCTTTGCGCAAAAAGGTCACTTTGGCTCAAGCTCTCAACTCGGTCGTAGCCGTTACTGATGGAGTCACAAATCATTAGACTGCTCTGGCGCCTTGTGTAAATTCCTCTGATATAAAACAAACTGTTTCGGATTATCGAACGATACTTCGAGGTTCAAGCACCTTTACAACCGAAACTATTCTACTGAAGTAAATTTTGTCATTAAATATAAAATGATCATGTTTTTGGTCTGCTTTATCTTATTGGTATGATGCACTAAATCGGCAAATAGAACTCTGTTTATAAAAATCATTTGCTCTTAAACTTCTACCAACACACCAAGTAAGGCTTTCGACCCAAATAATAGGAGTATATTTCTATTTCCTTGAATAAATCATGCGCACAAAACAAATTTCTAAACAATTGACGCCTGCCTATTTTATATTGTAATTTTTGTTTTAAGCGTTGTTAAATTATTCGTAAAAACAAATTTGAAGTTTTAACAGATAGGCGTCACAATTAATCTCACATAGCAACTCGCACGAGAAGATTGGATTTCTTTTTTATCCTTCAGTTTCGTTTCTTCCATTAACAAATTATTGTATACCCAATTTTCCAACTAAATAATTGTAAACAATGCAGTTCAACAATGCATAATCTATGTGGGCTTTCACCAACTTAAAAGAATACTATTACATGCACTCGACTGCACCGCTTTCTCGCACTTCAGGATTACAGTTAGATTCAGCACAAGGACCTACTTTAAGAGAAGCATATTGCGGATATGTATGCCACCTATCGGAGTGTTTGTGTGGGGGAGGTCTGAAATACGGCATAATAGGAAGGCTGCAACGTTTACATCGATGTAAAGAAAAAAAAAGGAACAAATACATTCTCGTAAAGACATTTGAGAAAGAACTTAAAAGTAGTTATTTTTTTTTTGTTTTTACTGGGAAACAATAGCCGCTTCTAGATAAGAGATGTGAACACAATCCCGAATCATGTATGTGAACACAATGCATACTAGAAAGCAGCGCGCAGATTTTGAAATATTTTCAAGGGGTGTCGCCATTTACAAAAAACTAATACGAGCACCAATTCTTGTCTAAGGCCATTCGTCACAAATCATCTTGAAACGTTGTATGTTCAAAGTTATTTGTCTGCCATATTCCGAGCCCGAATAATGATAAAGGATCTCACCTTCACCGGTGCTCTCAAAGTTGACCACAACAGCTGGACCGGCTTTCCGCACAGGAAGAAGGATGTTGTAGGCTTGGACGGAAACGCTGTAATTGTTGTACTGTTCGCCGAGTTTGGCCGCCAAGGTCGTTGTGTTCCCTGGAACGTCGTGTATTTGGCCGTCTCGTCGTTCGAGGTTCGCCACACGGATTATGTAGCCGTCGACGGGCCCGTTAGGTTGGTCAGGAGTCTGCCATTGAAAAGTGGCTTTGTTCAGGACCAGCGTTACGGAGAGGTTCCTGACCTCTGAAGGAGCTGCAAGGAGAGAAAAAGTGAATGTTTAAGAGCACAGCGCAATATTATTACCAACGCGGTCATGGCTGCAAGTGCTTAAAAAAAAAAAAGAGGAATGAATGTTTTTATTTAAAATGATGTGCCGATTAGGATAAAATTTTTATTAAACTGTCCACTGTAAAAATCGCCTTCCCTTTCCACATTAGAGCTTATTCCCATACTTGCGTTTTACCTACTACGAGAGAACGCGCAAAAAACGCAAAGAACACACTAGACCGCTAACGTTATTTGTCGGATAGAATTTGGAATGGCGTATAACTAAATTGAAGGCTTTGGAGTATTTGAGAGATCAAATATACCTGCCATGTGTGGGGGCCCGCTCTGCCGCCGCCTGATTGCTACCAGACGCTGGCGGCCGAGGGCGGCTCAAGGGCGAGCCGTCGGCACCCTCGGTAGCCGATCGAGGTTGATAGTGGCCGGCTGGTGGCGGCGGCGGACGTCCTCGGGCCCCCTTCAAAGGAGCCCGACCCCCAAGGGCCTGGGGAAGCTGGACGGGGATAACCCCATACACTGGCGCCCAACGTGGGGCCCGATTAATTGTCTTTGTCCAGTTCCTCTTCCCGGGTGTCACCACTCTACTTGTGTTTAATTTTGGAGCGGGGACCAATTTGCCAAGGGTTCTGATTAGGCAGAGAGCTTTGACTTAAGTCGAGATGCCGAAGTCCAGGCGCGAGGGAAACGGAAGTTCAAACGGCGCGAACCAGCCGAGCAGACGGGAACCCACAGCCGCCGTTCCCCCTGAGGCTAACCCCGCAGGGGCGACTGCGTCGCTGGTTGAGAGTCCGACCATCGCGCAACCGCAGGCGCCTTCGGGTGCGGCTGAGCTCATGGAGCAAATGACAGCTCTGTTCGCTACACTTACGCGGCAGTTAGCTGCGGCGCAGAGCCCGACTGCTCCCGCGCCGGTGACTCTTCCGCGTCCGCGGCTTACGATGGAGCTGCCCACGTATTCGGGTTACGCGGATGAGAGTTCTGTTCATGACTTCCTGTTGCGCCTGGGCACCTACCAAACGGCCGTTGGCGCGTCGGATGACACCGTCATCCGGCAGATCCTGCCAATCGCCCTTGTCGGGGATGCCGCCCGTTGGTGGAGGCTTCAGGAGCCTCCCTCATCGATGGCCGCGTTCCATGAGCGCTTCCGAAGCGAGTTTCTGCCGCCGGACTATGAGAGGCGCGTCCGCGAGGAATTAAACACGCGCACGCAGCATCCTGACGAGAGCCTTTTGGAGTACGTGCGCGCACTTCAGGAACTTTATTCGAGAGCAGACCCCGCGGCGAGTCACGCGGACCAAGTTTCGCGCGTAATCCGCCAGTGCCACCCATCCTTCAAGCCGTATCTTCGTGGGCGCAGCTTCGACACCCTGGAGGCTCTGGCTCGAGAGGCGCGCGTCGTTCAGGCGGACTTGCTTGCTGAGCTCCGCTACGCGCCGCCGCCTGGGCCGGAGGAATCGCTTGAGCCTAGCTGCGCCTGGGCGGGGTCCCAAAGCCCGACCCCCCGCGTCGAGGCAGCGTCGGTGTCCGCGGTTGTTAGGCGCGAGGCGCGAGAAGTCGTTTCAGCTCGCGCGCTAGACCCCTTCTCGTACGAGCAGAGACGCCGCGCCGGCCGCGAGAATCGGCCTTCGAGTTCGGTCGGGGCCAGCGCGGCCGGGGCGCGTGGTGTCGCGAGGCGGGGAGGTAACGCGCCCCGTTTCGGTCGAGATGAAAGGGACGGGCGTCGCCAGAGTCCGGGCCGCCGACCCCTGCGTTGTTTCCGGTGTGACCAGCCTGGCCACATCATACGTAACTGTCCGCAGCTCGAGCGCGACGGTCAGCGCCAGGGAAACGCCCGGGGCCAGCGGCGTTAACCGGATCATCCAGGTTCCCGCCGCTGGCCAGCGGCGAAAGGGAGGGGCGACGCGGTACCGTGGGGAAGCCCCACGAAGACGTGTCGCCGACATGTCCCACTGATGTCGCGGACGCGTTTGCCCCACTGGCATGTAGAGCCCAGACGGGACTCTCTGCCTCTGGACCTTACATGACGATTAACATTGCTGGGAGGGAGTTCTCAGCATTGATAGATACCGGAGCTACCCTTTGTCTGATCGGTGACGACGTGTACGAAGCATGCCGCGAGAGGAGGAGGAGTTTAAGACCGGTCGACATCTGCATGCGTTTGGCAACGGGCATGACGAGGGCTGAGGGGGCTCTGCGCCTTCAGGTCGAGTTTGACGGTCGACGTAAGAGGCAACGTTTTGTGTACCTTCGGGGTCTCACATCTCCGGTCATACTGGGGCGAGATTTCCTTTCTCGGGAAGGCATCATCGTTGACCTGCGGAACAATGGGTACCGTTACGACCCGTCTACTCCGCTGATACCTTTCGCCGACCCACCGCCCTGTGTTCCTTGCGCTCCACGTACGACGGCTCTCGCTGGGTGTCCCAAGCTCCAGCCAGAGGCGCTCGTCACGCAGGTTGGAGCGGCGGAATTGGAGGCCGTGCTCGCGTCTTTCGACGGCCCGACCGAGCAGAGGCACGCACTCGCGGACGTTTTGCGCCCCTTTTCGGCGACATTCACCGAACGGCCGGGCATGACTAACGTCCTTCAGCACCGGATCGACACCGGCGAAGCTAAGCCCTGGGGTTGCAATCCCCGGCCGCTTAGCGTTCACAAAAGAAACCTCCTAGACGCCGCCCTCGACGAGATGATTGACACGGGCGCGGTCAGGAGATCGAAAAGTCCTTGGGCTTTCCCGGTAGTTCTAGCTCCAAAGAAGGACGGGACAGCCAGGCTTTGCGTTGACTACCGCCAACTCAATTCTCTGACAACGAGGGATGCGTATCCTTTTCCGTCGATCGAATCCATCATGTATTCCTTGGGGAACGCCCGAGTGTTTACAACACTAGACTGCAGCAGGGGGTTTTTGCAGATTCAGATCGCTCCTGCCGATGTCGAGAAGACTGCTTTCACTTGCCATCGCGGGTTATTTGAGTTTACTCGCCTTCCCTTCGGACTGTCTAACTCGCCGGCAAGTTTCCAGCGACTTATGGACATCGTTTTGGGAGACGCCAGGTTTAATTTCGCAATGGCCTACATGGATGATGTTGTGGTCTTCTCCAAGTCATTCAGCGAACATCTCGTTCACCTGAGGATCATCCTCGGACGAATGAGGGATGCGGGGTTGACGATTAACCCGAAGAAGGTACAGCTCGCTTCTCCGAAAATCGATCTCCTTGGGTTTGTGGTCGACGAGGGAACCTTGAAACCGAACGACGAGAAGTTAAGGGCCATCCTTGATTTCCCTCGGCCGCAGGAGGTGAAAAGCCTCCAAAGGTTTCTAGGAATGATTGGGTTTTATCGCCATTTTATTCCCAACTGTGCCGAGCTAGCCCGCCCGCTTAACCAGCTGCTGCGCAAAGGCTCGAAGTACGTCTGGCAACGAGAACAAGAGGTGTCATTCATCTCTCTCACTCGCGCGATCGCGGCGACTGCCAGTTTGCGACTGCCGGACTTAAACTTGCCGTTTGTGGTGCAAACAGACGCCAGCGATTACGGCGTGGGAGCGGTCTTGTTGCAAGAGCACGACGGCCAATTAAGGCCCGTCGCCTTTGCGAGCCGCACACTCACGCCAGCGGAACGCAACTACAGCACCACCGAGCGAGAGGGAGTGGCAATTATGTATGCCCTGCATAAGTTCGATCTCTACCTGGATGGCGCTCTCTTTACCATCCAAACTGATCACAACGCTCTCGCCTGGATTCAGAGGCTGAAGCAACCAGCCGGCAGACTGGCCCGCTGGGTGCTCACTCTGCAGCGCTACGCCTACAAGATAGAGTATCGCAGAGGCACTGCGAACCAGGTCGCGGACGCATTGTCGCGCGCACCCGTGGAGACTGACCCGGGGGAACTGCCCCGGGCAACCCTCCACCCACGACAGCAAGCTTGCGGGAATGCAGAGGAAAGGGGCGAGAAGGAGAGAGCGCCCGGTCACGCGCCGGAAGCTGGTTCCAGGGGTGCCATCCACGCGGAGAGAAAGACTCGCGGCAATGCGAGCGGTGGCGGAAAAGGTGATACCCCGCCTTGTGCGGCTGTGTGTGATGCCACCAATGAACAGATGAACGCTTGGGGTACTGTTGTGAGCAGGGAAGAGTTGTTGGAAGCCCAGAAAACAGATGGTTTCTGTCAGCGAGTGTCGGAAAAGCTAGCGGATAACGCAGCAGACGCTGGAAACGCTGGCACGGGACAGCGGGTGTCAGAAACGCTGGAGGGCAACGCAGCGGACACCGGAAACGCGGGCGCGAGGGTCGATAGAGAGATCGATTCCTATCTGTTGGGTGAAAACAACTTGTTGCTCAGGTACATCCCCGAGATGGACGAACACGAGGGAGACCCATCCCCCTTCAAAATCGTCGTTCCGCGGAAGCTGCGGCGGAAACTGATGAGGTATTTTCATGACTCGGCCCTGGCAGGCCACGGGAGCGGCAAGAAGACTTACGAAAAGTTGTGTCGTGTCGTGACCTGGCCGGGAATGAGGAGGGAGGTACTTCGATATGCCCGCAGCTGTCCAGCGTGCCAAGTGGCGAAGCCCAGGGGAGGGAAGCCCCCCGGCCTGATGCAACCTGTCATCAGCAAGCGCCCTTGGGAGACGGTCGCGTGTGACATCATCGGACCACTGCCCCGAAGTCCACGCGGAAACCAGTATCTACTCGTCGTCACGGACCATTTCTCGAAGTGGGTCGAGCTTTTCCCACTCAGAAAGCTAGTGTCTGCAAGAATCTGGGAAAGACTGTTGGATACGTTTTGTCGCTACGGTTTCCCTGCTTCTCTGATCACAGATAACGCGTCGGTGTTCACAAGTAAGGTCTTTGTGGACTCGTGCCGGTCACTCAATATCCAGCACAAACGAACAACGCCTTACCACCCACAGGCGAACATCACCGAGCGGGTGAACCGGAACCTGAAGGCGATGCTGGTGACACTCACCGGTAAGCATAAGGATTGGGACGCGAACATATCCGAGCTCGGTTTTGCAACCCGAACGACGGTAAATCGATCGACTGGACTGACACCCGCGTACCTGAACTTGGGAAAGGAGCTGACGTATCCCTTGGAAAATGGATTCCGAGAGTGTGGGCAGGCTGACCCCCGCCCCATCTCTCGCTACGCATCGGAACTCCGTGGCCGACTCGGGGACGCCCTCCGCACGGCCAGGGAGAACCTCGACGCTGCCCGGCTGGAGCAGGCCGCCCAGTACGACAAAACGCACCGCCACCTGGTTTACGCCGTTGGGGATCTGGTCCTTAGGCGAACACACCCTCTCAGCAACGCGGCGCAAGGTTTTGCGGCGTCGCTGGCACACAGGTGGGAAGGGCCGTACCGGGTCGCGGCACGACTGTCACGTTTGACCTACCGACTTGCTCGCCTGGACACGGGCGAAGTGTCCGGCTCGGTGCACGTGGGCGACTTAAAGACCTACTGCCTCCGCGATCCTGACGATACTGACGGGGAGGCAGGCGGGACAAGCAACGCTGGGGAAAATCCCCGGAGATACAATCTCAGGGCCAAAAGGCACTAGTGTATCGCATCCATTAACCACCTCTTTTCCCCACACAGAATGTCTGCCAACGGCGGTGCACGGGGCCGACCCCACCGTGGCGAACGCCGAACTCAGCCCTGGACGACGGAGCGGGTTTACTACCCCCGCTCGAGGTCCAGGTCTGGTCGCGGGTCCCGGAACCGGGGGGGCGACAATGGGACGCCCGAGGACTTCAGGCGCGTCCGGTCGGGCAGGGGAGGGCGCTCGAGCTCCCACTCCACGCAACCGCCTCCGGCTGGGCCTAAACCCCTGGAGCAGGCCAAGAAGAAGACGCGGTCGGCTGCTACATGGACGGTGGTCTCCGGGAGGGAGGCAGTCGGTTACGCGTCCCACGCAAGGTGGAGGGACCAGTACCGCCCCTCCCGCGGGGTCAACCCGTCCGAGGTGAGGCCACCTTTCCGGGGATTGACCCTGGCGGACCGGGACGACGAGCCGCCGGCCGTCTACACGGCAGAGGAGGAGGCGGCCCTCTGTCCGGTCTGCCACGTCTTGGTGGTGTGCCAGGAGGCCCACGCCGGGGGCAAGCTCCACACGGAGAGGGACCAACGGAAGAAAGACGCAGCGGCTGCGGCTGCTGCCACCGAGGAGGACATCGAGGCGGCCCTCAGGCTGCTGCGGAGGGAGCGGCCGGGGCTCCTGACTCCGGCCCCAGATTTGGTCCCCCCTGCCGCGCCGATCCCGCGGGCCCTGGAGCTTCCGCCGCTGAGGCAGTCCGAGCCGGTCCGGCCTGCCGAGTTCATCGGCCCCTCCCCGACGGACTCATCTGCCACCGCGCCCGGAGGGCCTATCACTCGGACCCTGGCGTCGCCGTCCTTGATGGACGTTGACCTGGACTCTTTCTTGGCGGCGTCGGGGTCTGAGGATTGAGGGGGGGTGGTGTGGGGGCCCGCTCTGCCGCCGCCTGATTGCTACCAGACGCTGGCGGCCGAGGGCGGCTCAAGGGCGAGCCGTCGGCACCCTCGGTAGCCGATCGAGGTTGATAGTGGCCGGCTGGTGGCGGCGGCGGACGTCCTCGGGCCCCCTTCAAAGGAGCCCGACCCCCAAGGGCCTGGACGGCGTGGATGGGGAGCCGGGAGAACACCCACGTCGGGAGGAAGGCACCCGTCGGCCTGGCGCCGGGAAAAGGGGGTGCGAGGGAAGGACCGGCGGGGGGCTCGAGGGGTCGGTGGGAGGACACATGGGGTGGTGCGACGGACGTGAAAGAGGACGGACGTTTTGGATACCGTGAGGTGCGACCGCCGGAGAACTCGCCAAATGTGAGTGAATAAATGTTTATATGGAAAGTGGTGTTGTGTCACTCGGGGGTGGGGAAGCTGGACGGGGATAACCCCATACATGTACAAGAAACGGTGGATTATGACATGAACAAAATTTTCGCAAGCCCATGATGAAAGAAAGGATACGCAAAAACGTTGGGAAATATACGCAAAACGAAGTGTTTCAGGGCCACCCAATAGATGGCACCAGTGTGCTCGACACAGGTAGAGTGCCTAGATTCTAGAGGGTCCACCACACACCTTGTGGAGCGTTTCGGCCGCAAGTGCGCATGCGCTGCGTTTTCGCATGGCGATGAGGAAAGCAGGAGGAATGGCGGAGGCGTTTGCAGACGATCAACGCTATCAGCACCTCCTCGCAGCTCGTATTGCAAATGCGGCCCATCAACCACGTGACTCCGATCGAGCATTTGGACTCTAATAGAGGCGCTCTATAGGCCACGAGATTTTTTGCTGGCGCCACCTCGCTGGCGCCACCCCGCGGCCTCGAGACTCTTACGCATGCGCCGTGTCGGCCGTGAACTGGCTTGGCGAAAAAACTAAATAACCCCACGATGTGATACATCGAGGTCGGTGGCAGAAACTTCACGTCGGAACTCCAGCAGGCCTTGTTTGCGGCGTACGGATCCTCGAACGCCGTCCACGCACAGTTTGTTTTGATACCGCTGCCGTTGAGGTTCGGATAGCGAGCCCAAATAGTCGGGCATAGCATACGACATACGTTGTCAGGAAATGCGACACAGAAATAAAGCTAAAAGCGTCCCTACAACGTCAACGGCGAGCGCACGCCACACAACGCAGTGGCGAAAACACGGAGAGCTGGGCCGCTTTTGCCCACAGAGCTTCCGCGCATGTGCGGCCTTCCGGCCGTGTTGGTAAACAGACCCGCTCTGCGTATCGGTCTATACACAGCCTCGGATTCTCGTGTTTCTTTTTTTCTTTTTTTTTTTTGGGGGGGGGGGGGATGTGTGGAGGCTGCTGTAGAAAAGTGGTTCTGCAGTCATCATAGTAAATGACGTGCCATCTTCTTAACTGTGCACGCGTGCACAGTTCTGTTGCAAAGCCCCGCAAACTTGTTTTAGCTACATTGAACTTGCCGATACCGACGCTTTTATCCAAGTGTGACTCGACAGTCGCTACCGAGCAAATGCTCGTCAGCAACTGACGCTTAGCTCCTTCCGAACCGAATACCTGGCAAAAACGTTTGTCACCAGGTTCCCGTGAAGATCGAAATCTCGTTTCTCCAGCAATCACTTCGCAGAGGAGATCTATGAGCTGAGCTGGAAGCGGACAGAAGGCTGGTAAGCTTAGGTGTGATGCTGTGACGACGATACTCACTTACGTCCACCCACTTTGATTATGCAGCGAAACCGAAACCAACAGCTAAGCGATCTTGAACCGATGTCAAAAGTTATATTTAGCAGGCGTGCAGCCCGATTCTCTTTGACCCGCGTGTGAAAATGGAGCGTGACTAGGACTTAACAAGCTCATCCGAGTCAAGTGACGATATAGAAATGTTACATGCCTCTTTAACGATTCGCCGTTTGCCTCAGACCCGCCGGCGTTCCCTCCGAGAAATCGACCCGCAGTCGCATCACCGGGTCAGTGGATCCACCGATATGTAGGCCTGACCAGATGCCGCTTCAGAGGAAAAATCTCCATCCTTCTCTTTGCAAGCGCTTCTCCGATCGGTTGCCGTCGCAGTTGTCTATGCGCGAAACGAAATACGTTTGCTCGAAGCTAACGGTTGTTTTCGTGTAATATGCTCCCAAAAAGCGTGATTTTTTTTTTTTTTTTTTTTTTGCAGACGTTTGGGAACTGCATTACAAGAAACTTATTTCAGTAGGGTACAGCCTAGGAGACTAATGTGATACAATATACAAGATATCCATCAACCAACGCTTGCTATCTTGACCATCCGACGATCCTTTGCGTTATGTGACGTCAAGCAACAGCTACGGATATCAGTCATTGACACTGGCGAAAGTCAGGGTGTAGTTTCATACACACACTCATGAAATATTTAATATTGGTAGATCATATATAAAAATAAAAATGACGTTTACCTCTATAAAGTATCTCTCAACGCAACGAGCGCAAAAACTTAAGTACTTCCAGTTTCGACCGGACAATCCATTTAACTCACCTGCGACTTGAGTCATAGCTGTGATCACAGCCGGATTTCCGCAGTATCTGGCGCAGCACCTCACTGTAACTTCATATCGTGCACCTGGATCAAGGCCCGTCACGTTGTAGCAAACCGTTGCGTTTCTGTCACAATGGTTCTCATGCTGCTCGACAGACGGTACATCGCCGCTCTTCGGGACCTTCTTAACGCTGACGCTGAAGTTCAGCGCATCCGGATTCAGTTCCCATTCCAGGCTCAAGCTATTTGTAGACGTTTTGGTGACGGCAAGCTTCCTCGGTGCCCCTGAAAATGTGGAGCACACAAATTGAACAAGCCAGCCAGATAGTGCTAAAATATTTTAAATGCTAGCCGTTCATTCTTTGTGACCAATAAAATAGCCATGTACACCGGCACACCAACATGGAATTATCAGCATAAACCTAGCGTTCAAATAGTGCACAGTTTCGTCAATAGTGACATTGATCATAGATTATTTTTTGCTTTATTATAGAAACAAAACTTTGCGGGTTTTCTCCCAAGGAAATTATTGCATTTCGGGAAATGAGAACAAAGTTTGTAACTATAGTTTCTGTATTCATCCTGTTGTTGAGCGGAACAACAGAAGAACCACTTTCCGCTTTGTTCTGAATACCAATGATTCCTTTCAGGATGTCCATCGGTGCTCATTGGAATGTTGAGTTAAATTAATTGATACATTGGATATCGAAAAAAAAAAAACAATGAGTGTGCAGGCGAGCTTGCGATAATTATTCAATATAACAGCCGAGACTAAGGTGCGAAAAAATTAAGGAACATTCAAGTGGAAGGAAAAGGCAACAGAAGGAAAACGTGTCAACGACGCTGTTCGAATGTTGTCTAATCCTTCAACTTGAGTTAAATTACTTTTGTTTTCACGGTCTTAGGTGCTACATTATGATACGCAATGCTTTGCCGTGAACACAATAAATGAAAGCTAGGGCTTCCAATTTTTTTATATTAGCACTTTTTTTTGAAGTACTATAGTTGAGCGTCAGATCTTAACTGCGTAACCGCGAAGACCGAATTTTCTGCATTAAAATCCCAAGTTTAAACTTGTTGGTACATGTCAATACAGGGAGGTCAGCTTGGAAAATTCTACCTCCGTTGTTTAGGCGTGATATCGTGCACCTGGACCTGACAGAGAGAAACAGGTTCAAGCTGACCTGCTTGCATTAAAATCACACTTACGTATTCCCTTGGTGGTGACGTTGTGGCGAGCAGCTGTTCCATTGAGTCGGATCCCGTGAAAACTGTGGAACGCCCACAAAGAACACTCGAACGTCGTGACCTGAGTCACCAAGTCCACAACGAGATGTGTTGCTCCACTGGGGACCATTCTTTCCATCATGTGGGGATGCTGAGCGTCGGTACTGTTGCAGCTGAGAACGTAACCGCTCAACGGACCTCTTTTTTCTTTTGGTTCCGCCCAGCTGACACTGATATCGGTGATGTTCCGAAGGGATACCCTAAGGTCACGCACAGCCGTTGGCTCTGGAAATATAAAATGCAAAAATACAATTTAAATAAGAATGCGTAATTGACAGGCAATATAAAATCCGCTGCTCGCTAACGAATGGCTATAAACCTCTAAATAAAGTTTTAAGCAGCACCCCTGGCGAGCAAAATCGGGTATTTTAGGTCTCGTTTTCGTTGTGCATCGCGTTGCGCCCTTTCAAACGCTCTACTGGTGCCTGTGGACAGACGCTGGGGGACTCTGAAAGACGCTAGACACTAGTTTACGCCCGTGGATCGTGCATGATGGGACGCTAGGACCCCGGACGCCACTTCGCGTGAGCATTAAATGGTCGCGTCTCGTGGACGCTGCCGGAGGCGCCTCTTTTGTGGTCGCGTCACGTGGACTGTACAGCACCCCCTGACAGAGAGAAACCGGCTTAGAAAAACTACATAATCCAACCCCTGAGAATCATAGAAATGAAATAACGGACAAGATGTCAAAATATCAGTCTGCTGTTGGTGCGGACAAAAACCTAAACAGCCATGCTGGGACAAACCTTGCAGTTTCAGCCGATTATTCATACCTCATTCGCACTTTTGACAAACGTAAACGCATCTTTCGATGATGGCCGATATTACTAAGAGGTGGCTAACTACCCTTTTATAAGTTTTTGAAAGAGGTGGAATCTTCCGAGTCAAACTTCAAAGTAGCGGCGCTGCCTGAGACGTCAGCCTTTGCCGCATGCAGCATTCGCGTTTTCGAGTTGTTCATCATTTTTGCACAAATGCTACCTGGCATGCACGTAGCCAGGATTTTGTTTCACAGGGGGGGGGGGGGGGGGGGGGCGCCTATGACAAAATACTGGATGAGGGGGAGGGGGGAGAGGAAGTCCCAGCAAAAGGAAAGATTTGGGGGGGGGGGGGGCGGGCCCCATGGTGTCCCCCCCTGGCTACGTGCCTGCTACCTGGCAATAATAGTAATAATAATAATTAATGTTTTTATTTTGCCAACAGTTTACAGTTGGAAGGTGAAAAGGGAAAAAAGCTGTAACACAGCTTGACTATACTTCGTTTCAGCTTCCGTCCGAGCGCAGCCAAAGGCTGAGGAACGGTTCACAACTTCGAGAAGAGCGTTCCTACGCACCACAAAGTAGTCCGCAAAAGTAATATTTAAAAAAAAAAAACTCTTGTGCGTGAACATTGCACAACATTCCAGATGTGTAGTGCTGAGAATGATTTGCAACGAAAGGAATTAAATATCCGAAGTTTATATTGTTATTAATATATGTAAATGCATGTGGTTTGGTGAAAACGGGTACATCCGCTGGCAACACGGCTGCAGCGCTCGGTTCTTCTAGTTCATTGTAGTCATTCTGTGTGATTTTGTTCCCATAATGGCCAAATCATTTGCTTCGCAGCTTTCCTCACCGAGTCAACCGAGTCGCTTCAGAATGTCCTTTCGCAAAGGCACGTTTGGGCGTCAGGCGCGAGTGGTTGTGATGAATGTCTCCTTTCAAATTCGGCAGAAGACTCCGGCCGCGTCGTACCGCGAATGCGTTGTAAACAAGAAAAGCGCCCGGGCCACTACAATTCACTGATACGCGGCGAGATCAGGGCACCCCTTTACCTACCGACCACATTGAACGCCGAGAAGCTGGTGGAAAGGACTGCGCCTCGAGCCCTCGTATATCCAGACATTACAAGGAAACATCAACGGCTGGGTAATCGGGCACCTTGCAATGTTTACTTACATCTCGAAACTATGCCGAAATGCCAGACAGGTGGAAAGCTCGGACACAATGCCAACAACCAGCCAACGTACTGACATCCCTGTGACATAAACTTCAGAACGTGAAAGGGCACTTTTTAAACCTAGAGCAAACTATACCGTTGATACACCCGTAGCAGACGAAATACTCGACCAGCGCGGGCGGCGCAGACGACCAGCTGCGCAGCGGAGTGATACAAAAGTGCAGGCAAGATCGCGTGACCAGTTGCCGGCGTGTGATTGGCTCCGGCCACACGGAGCTTTGGCCGCGCTGGGACGGAAGCTGAAACGAAGTATAGTCCCGAGCAACCTAAATAGCCGTTGAGACACGCGCACGAAATTATTTACATATGATTAGGACATCAATGAAAACGTGAAGAGATCCCTTGCACGAGAGAAAAATTGATTAGTGTCATTATATAATGCAAATTCAGTTTGAACAGACTGGAATTAGTAGACAAAATGCAACAAAAAAACAACTTCAACCCCCAAAAATTTTTAGGATGAACATATCAATACTTAGCTTCTTTTGAGTTTGGTTTGAGATGAGTATGATTACTTCCCGCAAGCTGCTCACAGACACATTGATAAGTTGTATATTTTCCCTACTGAACTTATTCTGTTTGTCGGAAGGATGTATGAAGCTGTGTATTGTCCGTCATTAGTTCTAAAAAATGGTACTTCTCATGGTTCTACAGTTCGCGTTGGATATGCATAGGCCTTTTTTTGTTAGGTTTGCTAAGTCTTCGAGATTGATTTTTTTTCTACCATATAGTTCGAACATAAACGATATTTGTATAAATAAAATTTTTTTCATTACTCTTAAGTTGATTGAAAACGATGTTTATTGGATAATCCAGCGTAACATGCAAAATGCTTATTTTTTTTGTAATAAAAATATATTTTGAAGATTGGTATATGCAGTGGTTCGACCATATGAGATGGCCATGATTTATATGCGAGTAAAATAATGTATTATATAATAAAAACTGTTTTAAGTTAATAAACACCTAATTTTCGTCCACGCCCTTTCACTATTTTGCGAGAGCCATGCGTTTTAGGTTCTTCACGAGGATGTCTGAGTGGTTCTGATAACTGTCGTCAATTAAGTTCCACAGGCTTTCCGTGCGCGAACGAACTGCTTTAACTTCTATTTCACACTTTTGGCACCCGGGATGATCATTTAATGAGCGCGCTGAACGAGATTATGGCTGCCTGCAAAATGCTAATGATGAAGTTCCTGCATTTTGTTACAATGTTCGGTAAATGCGGGAGCTGGTGGACCTGCATTTTGGCAGTCCCAGCGATACACACGAGGCGAGCGCTGGGAGCTGAGACAAAAGTTTGCCAGGTTATTGACTTCACTTAGGCATCAGCAGCCGTCCTGGGTCCTGTCCTTGTTAATCTGTCTCGAATTTCGCACAGTTTCTGCTATTTTGTTCACAAGAAAATGACAACGCATATTAAGAAAAGAAACAAAAAAACAAACTGCGCAAATTAGGAGGGAACATGACGCTGCGGTAATGCTCTGCGGAAGCGCACCCGCAAGCAGCCTGCTCCTGCTGCGAGCGGCGAGCTTCCTCGCATGGCTCATGCCGAGCCAACGAGAGTGGCTGCGACGGAACTTCCGTCGCACCACCAGCGCAGCGCCGAAGGTCGAGGGTTGTGCAGGTCGAGGGTCAAACACATAGAGTAGGACGCACACCCTCGCAGCGCCCTACTCTCCAACCCGTAGTTTCATCGATTTTAAGAGGCCTCCAGGAAGCGCAGCATGTATCGACGGCCACGCGCTCCGCTGTTCGCATTTCATTTGAACCCGATAGTACGTATAACAAAGCCTATCAGCAACATAGGCGGCAGATGTAACATTCAGTTCAGTAGATTAATGAAGCAGCAACAAAAACAATTAGACTGGTGCTCAATAGAAGCACTGTAAGCCAGGTTAACAAGCTTAATCCGAAGAACATCATTGTGCTGCACCTTCCAAATCCTCCGCATAAATTTAAACCAAAATTTAAATTTGATATTCGTTGCACAACATGGTACCTGCAGGGTCGGTGATCCCAGTAGCCTGGACAGGTGTTCCGTGGTAGGTCCTGCCGCCATAATTCACAAATCCCGTAATTCCGACTGTATGCCTCGTCCAAGGTTCCAGGTTTCCGACGCGGTACTCGCGGACATCCCGTGACAGGCTGATGTTCCCGCAGCTGACGATCTCGGCCGAACAAATTGTCAGTTGAAATCTATCCACGTGCTCCTGCGGGGCATTCCAGGCGACCTTCAGCTCACTACTGCCCAGAGCAGTCACGGTAAGGTTGGAGACCTCGGGAGCTGAAAAGTGGTCATTCACAAATAAAACAAAAAAACAAGTGTTAACGGTGTTTTTCTTTGCAAGGGCTTTTGAACTAAGGTCGCAATAAAGCAGAAAAAAGACGAAGAAAAAAAAAAAGGGGGGGGGGGGAGCCAACGCTCGTCAGCACACATCTCCACGTCTAGAAAATCCTTACAGAAAAAAAAATACTATGATTGGAGGTTGTTTCCTTTACGCAATCTGTGTTCAAAAAATACCAATGCGTTTTCAATGTGTACGCCACACGCCGAAACATCTTGAAATTTTTATGCCATGCGTGAAAATATAAATCAACATAGCTTTCAGAAGAAAAAAATATTGACCTCAGAATGAGCGTTCCAGCACGTACAAGGTATAAATGAACAAACATCTTAGGAGTGAGGAAGTCATCGAACCGTCAAGTGAATCTTTAAAGTGGTTAAGATCGATGTCACGTCGTCGCGATCTCGCCGCACTTATGCAGGTCACGTAGTCTGTGTACAATGCGGAGATTGTGGTAAAATAATACCAAGTTCGAAGAGTAATGATCTTAGCAAACATTTTTTTTTCCAGTGTTGGGAGCGCGCGACACCTCAAGGGGCGTGCGAGTCAACCTTGACAGCTAGGCAAACGAAAAGAGACAGCGTTACGTCTGCACGCCCAGGCCTCGAGCCTTGACCTGCCCGCAGGCCTTGACCAGCAGCGGTCTGGACCGCGTCTGCGTCTTCCAACGGCCGCGTTTCTCGACATCGATTAAGAGGAAAGGTTTGGCACCTTGAAATCCAAAAACGTATCCACGTCCCGTGTTACAATGTACATCTACTTTCACGTAATTAGACCCGCAGGAGTTGCTCGGAGCTGAATTCAATCCTGTCCTCCGCAATCGTAAGCCGCGACGATTGCAACACGCCGCCACGTTTTTCGTTTATCTGCGCTACAGCAACATGCCTTTACGAAGCGTTTCGTGTGTTTGACGGTTCGCAAATCACTACGGAACTGCCTTCACCAGTGCTACGAAGTGATAAGATGCGCATAAGAAGTATTTTTCGCTCCTCTTATTGTGAGATAGCTCTTCGCTCGCTGATGTGGATCGGGTAGACGTACTAAAATTGAAATAATCGAGGTTTGTATTATTATTTTTTTTATTTTTTAAGCGCGTGGAATGGATGTATTTTCAATTTCAGAATATCGTGTAAAAAAAAAAAGTGCGCCGATTGTGGTCTTGGACATTTTGTGTAGCACTGTGGTCAGGAAAGATGACAATGCTTAGACAATAAATTTGACTGCTACACGCGATGTCAAGTCCAAATGCTTCTGCTAGAAGCCGCATCCTGACGCCACTGTCTTGTGGCACGCTTTCAATATTGAAAGGCTGCTGAAGGAGATACGGTTCAATAATCAGAAAGAAATTGAGTCGATTGAGTTACACAATGGTTCGAAAAACAACAACCGTGGGCCCGAGTTTTTTTTTTTTTTTTTTTTTTTTGCAAGTGGTCCGCGCAGCAAAGGTGCTTTGTCTGCTTCCTAACTGACACACTTTGAGGGATGAACTGTAAATGAGCCCGGATCCGTTACATTCGCAGTTCAGTTCAGCACCTAACACGTTTTAACATTTCAAACCTGCAGAAGTCACATGATCGTTCAGTCGCGTTTGCAACATATTAATAAAAGCTCCATAGCAGAATTCTTGCCAGCCTAGTGACTTAATGCTTCCAAATGGCTCGCAAATGACTTCTGTTATTGACGACTTCGTGCAGTCGCTTCCCAGCCCAAATACCCCAATATTCCTAAGATGATGGAATTCGCAACCTGCATCGATAGTGTCTAGAAGAGAAGATGATCGGTTCTTTAGTCACTGTCAGCCCAAGAAGAGCTCGGCGCGTCGAGAGCGAACCACCTTGACAACGCTCCGCGGCCAATGAGATTCTGGCATCAGTCAGTAAGGTCCACGAAGGACCAATCAGAAAGCGAGAATCGTGATGATAAGATACCACGCCCTGCGTTTCGTAAGTAAGCAGTGACCAGAGTCGCCACGGAAAAGTGTCTTACCTCCAGGACCCGTGAACATTGACAACGTGGAGGCGGGGCTGATGACGACACCTTCGCGGCTATGGTAGAACGCCACCAGGTCCAGAGTGTAATTCGTCCAGAAGGGCCGCTTTTGTAGAGCGAAGCTTAGGGTGAAGTGCAACTTGGGACTGTCGATCTCGTACACCTCGGTGAGGCTCGACTTTCCGCGCACCTCAATCCTGTACTTGAAAGGCTGAGTCTTCAGATGGCCCGGGACACTCCAGGTTATGGTGACGTCCACGTCGTGCTTGTTAGGACTCAGCGACGCCGAAAGGTTCGTTGGCGGAGAATCCACTGCGGAAGAAACATCTAGCACGTTGTATGCACCTGCTTTGAACATCATGTCCAAGCCTTGTTTTTAAATACAAGTTCACGCAGGTGGCACCCGTCCTGCAAAGAGCTGCAAATGCTCGCGGACGTTGTCTTCAACCTCAACCCAAGGTACTCCGACGGCTGTACCAGTTTTCAACATTAGTTTTCGCCAAACTCCTGCCGAAACCTTGTATATTCACTGAATGACCGCTGACCCAATAGGTATTTTTCGACTGAAATATTCTGAATATAGAACAAGTTTAGAAGATTAACCAACTTGCTTGATGTTTTCACGTCACGATTATTTCTGAAACAAAAAATTGAATTCCACACCGTCTTATCTGCCTTACTTTTACAAATTTTGCTGTAGTGCCTAGGATTTCAAAACAGAATATTACCTTCCTGCTCTTCTTAGCCAAAGTAAGAATATTATTCATGCTCTTTTGGTCATTAGATGCCTGTTGGTTGCATGAGTTAAGTAACATTTTCTAGACATCTGTCTCGCTATGCTTCGTTAGCTATCTCGGAGTATGTACCGGTTTATAAAAAAATATGTAAATCCATCTCCAGGCTTAACATATAATCATCTGCACGCGCCTTGTGTTTCCCAATTATTTTCAAGGCAGCTTTCAATGCATATACCGTATTTGCATTTACTTCTGTCGGAACACAGGTTTGCCGATATACAATATACCAAATATTTAACATATATAGTGCTGATCGGGTTTATACAAAAGGCAAACGTAAGCCGCTTAGCAGATGCGTGTGTCCTCCTCACAGTATTCGCGTGTGGTCAGATTCTTCGCACGGGCATTTGGTAATCTACAAGAAGATTCCTAAAAATTCTCAGGAAAACCTATTTTTTAGCGAAAACACCCAGCTAGTCTGCTATATTGTAGAGTTTTATACCGAGGCCATCATGCTGTCAAATTTATTACTATCAATATCCGTATCTTCATTTTTTAGATGTGATAAGCAGAATACGAGACAAAACACGCAGTTTAAACGAGTAATTTTTGAAATAATGAGGACTGATAGAACTAAAATGATAACCATAAAAAAATATTCTTACGTATCGTTTCTGTTGTGAAGCTGGTGGTAGCGGCAGGGCTCACGAAGGATTCGTTCTCGTAACTCAGGACGGTAGAAACAGCCACCTGGTATTTGGTGTCCGCAGCGAGTCGTCCAACCGTCTCCTTCTGGATTCCGTCTTCGTCAAAAGGCTTCGAAAAGTTCAAGCAGCGCTGTGCCCGATCGCAGACGGATACTCTGAACGCTTCTGGCACAGGAGCCGTCGAATCGAGCGAAAATTGCCAAAGCAGTGTCACGGCATGTGGTCCCATCGGCAGAGCGGAAAGGAACGTGGGAGCCCGGGTCGCTGCAATTAAGCGAGCGAAGTTTTAAGAACGATACCTGGTTCAAAAAGTTACGTTGGTTGCATTCAGCTCGACTGAAACGACGGCAGCGACCAAAGTCAGTGAGACAAACTAAAATCCCGTACGAAACGTGGCACAAAATACAAGAGGTATGCGGAAAGCAAGTCGTCTGCTTATTGCGCAGAAGTTGCGGAAATGTCAAAACAACTCCGAGCTCCGATTGGCTTTGATTGAAAATATAGTGGGTAGAACTCAATGCTAGGAGCCTTGATGTTTACCCACTATTTTTTTCTCGATCAGCCAATCAGAGCTCGGCGTTCTGACGTCATCGCATCCCCTGTGCGAGAACCAGACGAATTTGCGCTCCGCATAGCTTTGTGAAGCAATCTCGAATTACCGCTGTCCCGGTTATCGCGGTCGTGTTGGTCGCTATGAACGCAAATGTGTGAACGAGCGTTAATGCGGCAGAGCTACGCCGAACTGGTGAATTGAGTTCGTGACACTGGTGGACTAGGAACGTAAAATGGGGGTAAGACGCGTCATGGGGTTTCGATATAATTGGGGTGAGTTCCTCGATCTACGCATGCATTATCATTGCAGATTTACTTTCCTTGAAAATGAATGAACAGGGTAAAACCAATAGAAAATTTGCATAGACAAACAAGTTTGTAATGTAAAAAAAATTAATGGTTATGTTCCATATTCACTCGCAGCTTAAAGGAACGCGGAACGCTGCGAGTTCCGAATATTCTATCGTCGCCCTGCAGGAAATCAGATTACGGCATTGGCCGATAAGAACAAAGTACAAATCACGAAGTAAAAAGCATGAGCATAAGCTGGAAACGAAAAAAGCCATAAAAGCCGTTCTCTGTGACAAAAAAAAAAGAAAAGCCGTAAAAAAAAAATATATATATATAAAAAAACGTACGTCCTGCCGTTTTGGAACTACGGTCAGGGGTGAGTGTAGTTTCATCAAAGTATGTATTTCCCGGTGACACTTTTTTTCAATTTAGTACGGCGATATTTAATTATTTTTATAGCTGAACCACAGCAGATGAGAAATATCTATGAGTCGATTTTTCTTTGTTGGGTGCAGCCCCACCACTTGGAACGTCAGTTTTTGTTGTTCAATATTGTTTTATATTAGTTGAATTATAAAAATTTTACAATCAAGGAAAAAAGTGAAAGCCGTTTACAAATCTCTGTAACGCCGAATTGGAGCGCAGCTCTTGAGGAAGAGTAGGGAAGGGTACTGAGGGGGGTCACGTCACCTGCGGGTAGTCACGTGACCCCGGGGGGGGGGGGGGGGATCACGTGACCAGGGGGTCACGTGACCTCGGGGGGGGGGTCACGTGACCCCCCCCCCCCCCCGAGGTCAGCCTGAGCGGCGCCGACCAGGCTGGAAACGGGCCCCTAAGAGCTGCGCTCTAAAAAATGAAAGAAGTTTACAATTCTCTAATGCCGGATCAGAGCGACTCTTGAGAAGGATGAGGGGAGGGTATGCCCCTCCTCCTCCTCCCCCTCCTGCTCCCATTCCATTTATTGGGAAATGGTCGCTCAATTTCTCCGCTACCTTTGGCGGGGAAATATTTTCGCTAAATTTACCGGGAAAATATTCCAGCTAAATATACCAGGGAAATTTAGCGCAAAATTTCCCCTAAATCTAGCGGAAAATTTAGTGAAAATTTACTTGCTAAATTTAGCAGGTGAAGTTTCCCCGCGAAATTTATCGGGGAAACTGACGTCCCATAAAGAAACGCGCGCGGTTACGCCGACTCAGCTATCCGGACACGGGCGCCCAAGAGCTGTGCTCTAAAACGCTAATTGCTGCTGTTCTCTTATCAGGACCGCTCTTGCGCATGACATGACGGTACTAAGTGTGTTGTGTGTATTTTTATACAGCCGGAAGTTAGCCAGCCCCTAATGGGCGTCCGCGCTGTCTCGGCTGTGGATGAGCAATTTAGCCAGTGCAGTACAGACCGCTAGTCCGGGGTCTTTAACGTGCACCACGCAGCGATGATGCACGACCACACGCCGGTACGATAATCGAAGCAAGTAACTAAAATCTGAACGGTCGCAGTGTCTCATCACCTCGACGGCGAATTATTATTTTAATTGTTTTTGTTTTTGTAAAATATACTGGTCGCCTCCCAATCTTGGAATACACGAAAAGGGCATCTCTTGGAATTTTGAAAGTGAGAGCAGATATTCCAGTGAGAGCAGTCTCAGAAAGCTAGCTTCTTCAGTCCTCAAGAAACCAAGCCTTAATAAAGCAAAATGTCAGTCACCATTCATAAATGTTTCAGGAGTTTTTTTAACGTTTTTTAAGGTTTTTTTAAAAGCATAAAGCCGCAATAACACAGGTGTTGCTCTTACATCATACAAAACACACGGCGTTCGCTGTGGACAGTTTTTGAATGACCCATGGGATCATGGGTCATCCATGGTCATGTCATAGAAGAAAGAAGCACAACAGAAAAGTTTAAGAAACCGTCTTTTGCACATCCTATACGGTATACAATGCCCCCTCTGGTACCAACTGCGCATGCGCGAGTCTTGCTGCGGTAGCACACGCGCAGTGTGTACCGGAGGTCTCATTGTAACGTATCGGATGTGCAAAACCGGTACCCTAAAACTCTAGTGTATGCAGATTTTCTTGAATTATGCAAGTGCATTATAAAACTCCAGGAACTATGTTTTTTTTTATTCATTATTTTTTACGAATCGTTACTAGAACATTTTGTGTAGCTTATATGTCAGATATTTCAAAATACTTGACATAGTGAACACCATCGATCGGAACGTACCTCCGGGCCCAGTGTGCATCGTGACTGTCGCTCCGCTGCTCCAGACCGTCGCATTCTTGGCCGTTGGATACAGGGCCCTCACCGTGGCGTTGTATCGAGACCAAAATCTCAAGCCATTGAGGACGAGCTGGGGAGTCGTGCTAGAGTGTGGACGACACTTGTTGAGACGGCACACGTGGACGACGAATCTCTCCGGAGGGGGATCGGTCCCGTTCGGCATCTTCCAGGTGAGAACGCCTTGCACGTCTTCATCGGACGGAACCAGCCGGTATCGTACGTCAAAAGGAGCTTGGAATCCTGTTGCAATGAAACGAGGGGAAAAAAACGATATTGTAGACATTTCTTTTTCACTAGTCATCGAATTATGTTTGTTTACTTCCAAAAGCACTGCTGGAGTCGACGAGAGGGGTAAGAAACGCAGGCGGCGTCTTGGTATCTTGGAGCTCTTTGCAGCGCGATTGTTTCTTTAACATTGGCGAGAGGTTCTCGCGTAAGACGTTAGCAGTTACACCGGACATTTCTAACCGCACGTCTAACCGAAAAAAATAAGACGCCGTATTGTCAGGCAGCTAAATTATTTTTCTTCAGTATAAAAGTGTGCTCATTGATTATATTGGTTCTTATTCATTAACAAATTTCAAACGAAAATCTAATGTTGCAATAATTGTGCCGCTCTAGGTCGACGTGCATTTATGCAAACATAATTTCTTACTGTTTTGTTTAGGCCTGCTCCGATGTTACCTATTGCCCTAATATACCTTGTGGCTGAACCACTTTTGTTTACAATCTTTGCAAAACGTTTCACTGCGCCGTGTTTCGCAAAAAAAAAAATCGTGGTAAAAGTATTACAAATGTTGGTTTCTCAATACAAAAACAAAAGCATATTTACCTCCGCAGGAACTCCGTACAAATAAAACATAGCGATAGCAGGTGCTTTAAAAGTACTTACGAGGTGGAAGCGTTCGTACAGTCGTATTGGCGGTAGGACCCGTGTAGATGTCTTCACCGTCTTCGATGTAGGCAGAAACCTGCACCAGGTAATCCATGCCGTCTTCGAGATGATCAACATAAACCTGGTAGCCATCTTTGGAGTATTTGATGAGTTTCTGAGTGCAGCGTTCGGCTTCTGTTCTTTCACAGACCGCAAGAGTAAATCCATCCGGGTGTCTTGGCGTTCTCTGTGGCGGATTTCCCCACGAAATTACGACTGCGTCCGATTCGTGGCTGGTAGCAGCCAAAGATGACGGAAGACCAGGAGCTGGAAAATAATACAATAAAGGCGCGCGGAAAACAAGTCATGATGATTTTTTGGGTTTATAAAATGGTAACAATGAAATTTTGTGTGCACATTTTGAGATTGAGTGTAAATCTGATCTGTACAATAAAGTTGATCTTTATGAAAGCGTCACTAATTTATTTGACCTAACTAGTGAAGAAGAAACGGGTAAAAAGTAGGAGGTATACCCTTAATTATTTTAATAGCGCACAGCGTTAGGCGTCCGGAAGAGTCTGAAACCTACAGTAGCAAAATGCTAAAATGGCAAGGGTGAATAGTTACAGTTTATTAAACAGATATAGCATAAATGAACACATTTTCAGGTATTGTTGAAAATATTTTTAGGCAAATGAAAACAATGCAGGAAATTTTTAATGCGCTTGACTTTCAACCTTTATTTAAAACAAAATATAGTCCCAATTTTTTAGATTAAAATTAGTTATTCTACAACCATATAAGGAAACGTATGGAATATACATTTTAATCAGCGGCTTGAATGGAATAGAAACATCAATTTTATTACGCTCGATGAATACATCTCTCTTAACAAAATAGCCCAAAAATCAAAATTACGCTTCTGCGTTATTTGGCAATTGTTTTGTCGCGTTTGTGCCCTCCACAATTTGCATTATTAGAAAATAATACAATTTACCTCACCACCTTAAACTTTCTTAAGTGCAGGTTTAATGATTACCAACGAAAGGTTATGTATACAGTTACCAAATTCCTTAAGAGCTGTATAGTGAAAAATATATATAACGCACATTTTGTACTTACTTAAAAATTGTTATTAGTTGCATTGCTGTAAGAATATATTTCTTTGTGTATTGCTTGAACCGCACAGAGTTCTTAACAATACCGATGTGGGTCAGGGCTGGTCAGTTGCAGATTTTTCACTGCCGCTCCGCCATTTATTTATAAGAATATTTTTATGAATATTGCGTCACTCATAATGAAGATATAAATTGGGAAAAACATGCGGTGGGCTAGCTTTGGGGATGCGACAGCAAAAATTTATATAAAAAAAGGATATAATACACTGGGCTATCCGCTACAAACCACAGAAAACGGGAACTGATACAGCGGATTGCGGACACGGCAAATTTGCGTTTTATGATTCTATAAACACGCGGTAATTTACTACGACATCTTGCGTCATTAGTAAAATGGGTTGCGGACGAAGCAGATTCGCTTTACAGTGTTTGCACGATTCCAACGCGCAGGCAGATTTAGTTTTTAGATATCTAAAAAGTAAAAACTGTCTACATTGCCGTCCGACGGCACTCCACTCGCGCCTACAGGTGCCGTCCGAAAGAGTCGGACGGCGTGTGTATCACGGGGTAGCTCGTTAAGAGAACCACACATTGGCTCACAAACGCACAGCTACCGTGTAGCCTACCTCACACCACGCCGTAACCGCTGGTTGTACTACACTGAACGATGGCAACCGCATGACTGCACGGCGTCCATTTGCAATCCAAAACTCCGTCGCGTTCTCGCGTGTGTGCAGACATTTGCCGAATTTTCACCGAATCTTTGCCGAATCTGAAGTTTGGCAGATTCGGTCCATCCCTAGTTACGATGGTGATGAGGCTAGTCACCTTGTAGCGAGCATTGAGTTTTTCTCGAGTTTCGGTTTTTGGTTTCGACTGTAACGCGCATGTAGTTATGGGCACCGATTTTGGCGACAAAAAGTTCGCGTTAGACGCGTGCGAACACAGTACACTGTGCAAAGGTCACGCGGGAACCTGCCGCGAACTCGCATGTTATGGGAACCTATGCCGCAATTCGCGGATGCAGCAGATTTGAATTTCACGCTGCAACAAACATTCGGGACAACACGTGTGTCATGGGAACCAATATCGCGTGCGCAGACCGCAGATAAAACACGCGGGAACCCACTGCGAACGCGCATGCCGCGGGAACAAACACCGCGTATCGAGGACGCAGCAGACTCGCATTTTACGATGCAATAAACACGCGAGATCGCTTGAACCCGCTAGGAACTCTTACGTTAGACGAACCGGTACCGCAGATCGCGCAGTTCATGTGGTTCCAGTCGGACATCGCGTGCTGTATACCGGAATAGGATGGAGGCAATATTTCTGAATTACGGGGGAGGGCGCGCTTACGGGATTTTACGGTAGTTTCCGATCTGTTTATTTATGTAATGCCGCACTAGATTAGGAAGCGCCTTTTCTTACCTCCAGGCCCAGTCTCGTGTTGACGAATCAAGGGTCTGCTAAGGACTTGGTTATCCCCCTCTTGATAGAGGACAAACACCTTGAAAATGTAGGTCGTCCAGTAGTTCAGACCTTCCCAGACAAGATACGCTCCTCTCGTGTAGTCGGCAAGGCACTCTTCGCTGCAAACTTCAACGTGGTAGCCAAGAATGTCTTCTTCCCTTGAACTTTCCGGTATCCAGGTGATGTTGACCACCGGACCATCCGTCCCACTAATGTCAGTTAGTGATATGCTCTTCGGAGGAGGGTAGACAGAACCTTGACCAAAAAATAAAATTTATATTACAAAAATAAGAAAGAAAATTGGAATGTAAATTAAGCAATAAACATTCCACGAACCAAAACGCAATTTCATATCAGATCTTAACACGTAGTCCAGTACCAATATGACGGCATGACAATTTCTTCGTTTTCTTCAACTCATGTCGGCCTCCGTTTGTCCACCCCCCCCCCCCCCCCCCCCCCGGCACGTGCCGACCGGAAAGGGGTGGTGGTGGTGGAAATTCCCCTCCATCTTTTTATCTCCATTTTGTCCCTTCCTATCACTTTGTTTAGATCACCGACTGAGGGAGATATGTTGTCAATCGGATCTTACTCTGCACAGTTTGTTTGCATCTACTAAGCATTAAAAATATTGCAGAAATGTTTGGTTATTCACTAAAAGTGCTTCACTGAAGCATTTGTTCTAGGACATTTTTCTAACGGTCGCCATTGGTACAACGTCCAGCTGAAAAGCAAAACTTGCAAATAGACCGTACCTGATAACTTGTCGGGTTCTGGCAAACCTCCATCTTGAAAGACGTTCTGCAAAGAAAAAAATTTAAAACAATTTACGTTGACTGCAAATTTTGTAAAAATATTCAAAACTATCATTTAAATTTCAAATCACACAAATACGCGTGGCAATGTGCGTGATAAAGAGAGCATACTAAAAAGCGCATTACGATTCAGATCATTTTTGTGCTACAGATTCATGGCTCGTTCTATATTTTGGAATCAAGAAACGAATTTGTATCATCAGTCAGACTAGACCATCATTCGAAATGTGTTGTAATTCTGTCTAGGCTCCTCTTACATCAAACGGTGTTGAATTCGCTACTAAATAAGGCATATGCAAAAATATACTGTATTTAAAAAAAAAAAAACGGTAGGACACTAACATGTATAACACCAAGTGAACGCTCATTGTATAACAGCTTGCAAAAATACGATAGTAGCGCATTGTTGCAGGTTACATTTCATATTTGACATTTGAAACAACCCCCATGACGTGACAAATCGCACAACGCAAGATTTCTGAGTTTGGAAAGCTGTTGTGTAAGCTACACTGATATTTGAAACCGCTGTGTTTATAAAGTATAGTAACGTATGATTACACGTATAAACAAAAATAGCTCACTGTACACCGAGCATGCTTTTTAATCCCTTTTATCGTAGAGCAAATGAACGTTATTGTAACCAAGGCGGATTTCCTCAACCTCATAACGCGTACCAGTCGAGTTATAATTCAACTCTATAATTACGAATGAGGGGACAACAAGTCACCTCAATGACTAAAATATGCGACTGTTGGTAGACGCTCTGTTACAAAGCCACGGTCAAGCTTTCTATGAACCGCGCACACCAACAAAAACTACCCTAAAAAAAAAAAAAAAAAACTGATTGGGCATTGCTTTTATGCGCGACATTCCACATTCCAGTGAGTTTCCTTGTTGGGCGACACTCCCCTCGCGGCCGGCCAACCCTATCGACCATTCGAAGATCGGCTTCTGTGCGCTGCCATCCCTGTCTCCTGGGCTGTGGAGCGCGCATAAGAGCATGCACAGGATATACCTCACTTCTGGGGAATATTAGACACCGAGCAGGCGTTCCCAGCCCTATACCTCGGCAGTTTTCGATTGGGTGATGAGCGTTTGAAAAGTTTTTGCATTTATTTCACCTTGAGGTCAGAGCACCGTCGGCGCTACGAACCGATGGGACCAATCAAACAGCGGCAAAGACGGGACGTCATGGCGTTCGAAACCTCTTCGTGCGTTCTCTGTCGTTGGCTAAACAGGTTAAGTGCAGGGAAAGCCCCATGACCTGCGCGTTTTAATGCGTGTATTCGTGTTTGCATATGCACAAGCCTTCGAACGTCCTTTGGCTTACTATGAAACTGTGCATAGCCGAGTGAATGCCGATTTCACCAAACAATCTTGTTTATAACTTAATGGCGTTAGGCTACGAGCTCCTGTGAATGCACAGTTGACTCATATTAAGCTCAACGGGCGTCCGTCGACAGCTCGTGTACCACTTTGCAGCGCTCATCACCAAGGCAAACATTCATAGTCACTGGGCTGTGAGCGCATGAGTGGTGCCTGACATTCCGGATAAACGGGCAGGTACACATGCTGAAAAGCCATTTGACGGCCCAGAAAGGTGCCAGATTACAATTGGTAGATGGCAATTGGCAGCGTCATGAGGCGGCGGCTACGGCGGCATGTGCGCTCAAATGAACCGACCACTTCGGCCAAATCTCTTCTCCATGGGGATCCGTTTGCTGTCAGCTCAGTGAGCCAGACGACTGTGGCGTATGGCCCGTGGCGGGGTTAAATCGGCGCATAAGGTCAACCAGCCTGCCGAATATTGTCGACGGATGTCGCACCCAGCCGAGTTTCGAGCGAGGATCCGGAACGACGGCGAGAAGACGACACCGGAAGCAGGGCAGACGGACTTTCACTCCCAGGCCGGCTTGCCGAGAGACGAAATCCGAGGAACATCCGGCGGCGGCGCGACCAACGTTTATCGGCTGCAGCCAAGAACAATAAAAGTGCGAGGTCGAAGGTATCGCGTTCGGCGCGGCGGCGATGAGTGCGGTGCCAAAGATCTCACGTTCGGCGCGGGAGCGATCGGCAATACGGCGCCCTCGTGCGTCTGCGCGTGACAGCGCAACGGTACGTGTCTCGGCGCCAACCGTACCATAGCGTGTGCTGTATTTGCGGATGCAGGAAAAAGTAGGGGCAGACATCACCGCCATTGGTCAAAGAGCTGGGGGCGTATGCCCAGGGAACTCTTATAAAAGAGGCAGCGAACGGCTGCTAATGATCTTCCTGCTTTGGTATTCTACTCGTACAATTGTAAATTAAACGTCTATCGAAAAGTCACCCCGGCATCCAAGGCCCATCCTCCCGATGTCCTGGTCGGTACCTAGTCCGACAACAAGGACTACCCTGGGTTCGCTACAGCGCTTTTTGCGAAACACTCGTCAAGGGGGGAGATGAGGCGCGCAAGTCGCCACGGATCCCTCGTCAAGACGCTGCCAATCGGGTGCTTTCCTATGAGGAGTGAAAGTTCGTCTGCTTCTTGCGCAATGGGTTGAATCGACGTCAGAACGCCGCGCTCTAATTGGCCCCGATTTGAAGGATAGGGGGTAGACCTCAATGCTAGCCGACTTGAGGTCTACTGACTATCCTTCCGATCGGAGCCCATCAGAGCTCGGCGTCCTGACAGCACCGCAACCCCTGCGCAAGAAGCAGACGAACTTGTCCCCGCATTAACCGGGACTAGTTGGATCAGTACCCGTTCGTGCCCCTTCTAGATTTGCCATATAAAATTAATCCTAGCGCCGCATGCTCCGTCACAGCACCGCAGGGACAAGCCTTCAGGGCAACATTACAGAATTGTATATTTCAAACCCACAAGGCGAATTCATGGCGTGATTGACATTTGCGCATGACCTCTGCGAACGCCTTTGGAATCGCTTGGCGTTATCGTCCAGCTCTCACGCGTACAAAAATAACCTCTGGAATGAGGAGTAGTTTGTTTTCCAGAGTATCTTTCTGTTCGAAGATAAATCTGTCTCCATACCTGTCGAGCAGAGAAAAATGTTGGCTCGGACAAAAGCGTAGTCATGCCCTCGTCAAGATTTTTATATTTCAAACCCAACAGAATTCGTGGCATGACTGATATCGGCTCGGGTCATCTGCGCATGACGGCTGTGCATTATCCTAACGCATTCTGCGCTACCTCTCAGCAAGGTAATGGGACTCGCTTCGGGTTATCACACAGCTTTCGAATATAAAAAAACAACCTGTCGAATAAAGAATAGTTTGTCCTTAGTATCTTGCTCTGTTTAAAAAATATTCTGTCTTGATAGGAGTAGAGCGGTTAAAAAACGTTTGCTCTGACAAGGGCGCGCTTCACCCGCAACAATTGTCGATACATGACGGTAAACATCTTGTTTCGTCACAGTCCAGATCTTGCCACCGTTAAACAAGGGCCGTCTACAGACACGAGAGTTACTTTCATTTTCGAACCCTTCGAAGAACCTCAATTTGACGTCCGAAATATTTGTGTCTCTGTTTAGTTAATAACCACCTGATTTGGAATAAATTCCCGGTTTTAATATTCAGCTCCAACTTTATTAAAGTAAACAAGAAATCCTCCAAATCCTTACCCGATGAGATGACTAGACTTCTCTCCCGTTCTTGACAGCTTCATTCATGGGGGAATTCGTCTGGTCGGTGTTTAACACAGTTACACTGCTAAGACGATAACGTCAGTTAGCCAGATTCGCCTTTTTTTCAGTTTGAAAGCACTACATAACTCATCAAATTTGACCTTCTTGACGCTAAACAAGGCCCAGCTCGGTAAGCCTCTTGCAGTAGTTTTGCAGGTCGCAAATATAAAGCTCATATCCCCCAAACCGGAAAATTGAGACTGCTGATTCAATTAGTCGTTCACCAAGATCCTCCGAAAGTTTTCAGAAAGAACCCGCTTATCAGCTGGTTTTGACGTCTAGAGCGAAACACTAGCAAAATATGCGGTTCAACTTTCCCGATAACTTTAGCGCGGAATTCATACGTATAAGGCGTTTTGTGGGTCTTAGCCTCTCACACAAATCGAATGCCCCCAAAAAGCCATTGAGGAGCGAATAGACTCTTCAAATTCTAGAATTGTCAAAAATGTCAACAGAGGATAAGACCACAGAATGCGTTTGCGTCTCCTGCAATTTTATGCGAAGACTGAAGGTCAATTTCGATTTTTATACAGAACGTGCTCTAGGTCTGGCTTGCACACAATCCGCCCGACGCTAGCGAAACTCATCCCTAAAAGTCGTGACACGCCCTCAGAGTTTACTAGACCCGCGTAAGAAAACACAAAGCGTAGCGAGTGCCGACTTTTTTGCGTGGGTTCGAGACATTCATTTTTCTTTTCTCTTTCTGCAAACCGCAAAAAACAGAACCCGGCAGACAACCGACTCGTGACACACGAAAGAAAAAGACTTCGAGGCGACGGGCACCCGCCTTTCCATGGTGTCAAAAGAAGAAGCAAAACGGTATTAACCGACTTACCGTTGTCGCGCCAGTTGGTACATTGCCACGAACTTCGGAAATCACCGCGGTCGCCACGCAGAGAAGGAGCAGTGCTCCCCTGATTTCCATGGCGAGCCTGTTTCAGGACTGGGACGTGTGTGTGTGCGGCGTGCGTCCACGCCAGCAGTGAAGGCGCGCGTGTGATGAGCTTGTAGATTACTGTGCAGCGCGAACGAACGTTGAAGCTCCCCGCCCGTCCGTTGCGAGACTGGGAAAGAAGAAAAGAGAGCGGTGGGGATCCTCCCTGCGACGACGCTTGGCGCGTCCGTGTTATCGGCGTTTGTTTTTGAGCCGATAGCAGCGAACGTGACTTTATTCTGAAGAATTGCACATTTCCTTGTCTGGAAACTATCTGCATCGCTGTTTGTCGTCCGCTGCACAGTCATGATTTTCGGGTGTCCAACAAAACAGCTGTGTAAAGGCTGTGAGTGCGCAGGCGCGAGCTGCTGGTAGCCTAATCGTGTCGTTTACTACCTGATACTGGGGTGCAGAAAGGGAAAAGCATTTTGATCGAACGAGCAAGCACAGAAGGGA